AGATATGATAATCGTATGAATTGAATTCGCCTATTCCCGTCCATTTTAGTTCACTGGTGCCCAGGATGTCAATGTTTATTCTTGCCATCTCCTGTTTGACCACATCTACCTTACCAAGGTTCATACATCTTACATTCCAAGTTCCTATGCAGTGTTTTTCTTTGCAGCATCAGACTTTCCTTTCACTTCCAGGCATGGCCACAGATGAGCGTCCTTTCTGCTTTGGCCCAACCACTTCATTAGCTTATCCTCCGCTCTTCCTCAGTAGCATGTTGGAAGCCTTCCGACCTGAGGGGCTCATCTTCCAGCATCATATATTTTAGCCTTTTGTTTTTGTTCATAGAGTTTTCTTGGCAAAGATACTGGAGTGGCTTGCCAGTTCCTGCTGCAGGTGGATTGTGTTTAGTTAGAACTCTCCACTAATGATTGTATACCTCTCATAAAGATTATGACTTAAAGTATAATAGTGCTAAATTTTAACAGAACTTTTTCATACCTAAGTTTGTAAATCCTACTGATTTCAATGGGTCTATTTCATTTCGGATTAAAGTTATTTATTTATTTATTTATTTATTCATTCATTCATTCATTCATTCATTCATTCATTCATTCATTCACCTTATATGCCACACGCACTCTGCAAGAGTCTCCGGGAGGCTTCTAACATCAATTGAAACAGTTCAGTTAAAAACAGACACACCAAAAGATCATTGTAACTTGTCATTCATTTCTGTTGAAACTAATGGATTATGATAATCACACTAACAATAACACTAGATCCAAAAATCATCACTGATTAACAAACTGTTATTTCAGAGTTCTACAACATTAAAAGATTTTTTAGAAGTATCTTTTTATCAAGAAATATGATTTTTTCCTCCCAAAGATTAAAAATGCAATGAAATCATGAAACAAATCACCAAGATAAAAAGTGCTTGTTAGAAGTACTATTTGTTACAATCTTGAAGACGTTTAACAAACCAAACAAATTATTAGATTATACTACTGATGGGCAAACTAATGAAGTCAGTACAATTTGAATAGGCAGATGAGCCAATAGGAATTGCACCAATTTTGTTGACATAAAAAAGAAAACATATTTTCTCATAGCACATTTCTTGTTCTTCTGTCATTCTCCTTTTATGTTAATGAGACATTCTTAAAACATGGTAAAATGAGAAACCTGCCCTCAAGGAGAACTCATTAGGCCCATAAGGAAGAAACCTAGTTTGGCAGCGGACAAAATTGGCAATTATAGGCCTGTCGCCAATGTTTCTTTCATTACCAAGGTGGTGGAGAAGGTGGTGGCCAATCAGCTTCAGGCTCATGTGGATGAGACAGATGTCCTGGATCTGTTCCAGTCGTGGTTCAGGCTGCGCCATGGTATAGAAACAGCATTGGTCGCCCTATATGATGACCTACCCAGAGAGGCTGACGGGGGCAAAACATTTCTGTTGGTCCTTCTTGACATCTTGGCGGCTTTTGATACTGTCAACCACGGTATCCTCCTTAGGAAGCTTTCCGAGTTGGGAATTGGTGGCCATGCACTTGCATGGCTCTGATCCTTCCTCAGGGACCGTCCTCAGAGAGTACAGCTTGGGGAGAGATTATCGGCCCCGTGGATCCTCAATTCTGGGGTTCCGCTGGGTGCGATCATCGGGAGTGTGGGACGTCGTGCCATCAGTACGCTGATGACACTCAGCTCTACATTTCCTTTTCTCCAACTGCAGTGGATGCCGTTCTGTCCCTTCAGCACTGCTTGGAGTCTGTGCTGCAATGGATGCAGGAAAATGGGCTGAGGCTGAACCCGGACAAGACGGAGGTACTGAGGGTGGGTGGCCCCACCATCAGCGGTCTGGGAAACTCCCTCTCATTTGGGGGAGACTCTTACCGCAAAGAGTGGGGTTCGCAGCTTCGGGATCCATCTGGACCCAGCACTCTCCATAGAAACTCAGGTGGTGTTGGTGGTCCGTACCGCCTTTTTTCATCTCCGGCGGATAGCCCAGCTGCATCCCTATCTTGATGTTGGGGTGCTCACCACCTTGTTACATGCGCTTGTAATCTCGAGATCAGACCACTGTAATGCCCCTTCGCTGGGCATCTTTAAAAACCACCTGAAAACTTGGATGTTTGTGCAAGCCTTCCCTCCAGCTAATGCTTGATTTTTTTCCTTTTTATATTTTCTTTTCCCCTTCTTTTATCTTGATTAACTTCATTGATGTTTAAACTTTGTTATATTTTATATATGGTTATTTATGTTGGTAGATGCCTAGAGTGATTGTTTATTAAATAAATAAAGATAAGTCCATATTAGAGAGCTTTTAAGAAAGATCATTCAGAAAACAAATTGTTCTAAGAGGAATGATGCCACTTTCATTATATGAATCAGGGCATTCTTACTATGTTGATCTAGATCTCTTTTGTTGAAGATGAAATATGCCTCTACATCCTTTTATACATCCTAGGGCAAGTGCAGAAACCATTTGAAATGTTGAAAACACTGATTTGGAAATACATGTTTTTGCAAGTTTAAGGCAGAAACAAATAATGATTTTCAATGCTATATATGTGAAATAAATGAAAAATTAGGAACATATAGCCTGTAAATTCAATAGTAAAATGACTGCTATTTTCACTATCCACATACATTTTCCATTTGTCAGAGAAGGCCTTAACAAAATAATAATAATAACATCTGAATCTCCGGGGAATACTCTTCTCAACAGCTACAGTTCAGCCATTTCATTAATGTTAACGCAAAAGAACATGGACATGCAAGCAAGCTTAATTCTTTTGAAACAGTGGTCTGTCTGCTTCCAGTGCTTCACTGTGAATGTATAATGTCACCCACACAAACAGTTTAAAAATTACTCATAAAGTAGTGCTTAAAGAAAGACAGTAGCTGTCTCAATAAGAAAATAACTTTTTCCATGTTAGTCTTGTTCCATGTTAGCCTAAATAACATCAGCCACCAAGAGGTACATATGGAAGCCATTACTCCACCACACCATGATCTTCTGAGCAAGCGAAAGGAGAAAGAAGAGGAGGAAGAGGAAGGAGCAGCAGCAAAATATCACAACAACATAAAACAGACATTTTGCATAAACTAAAAATCTAGCAAGAATGCACAGAGTATGTTATTCACATGAAATGGCAACAAATGTTCCAGAAATAAAAAATACTCTCAATCTGCTTCCCTCTTCTCTGAAAAATCATGGCAACCTTTTTTCTTCAAACTAAATTCCAGAACAGTTTCCACAAATAAGAACTAGAATTATATTAGGGACTAGAACAGGTGTCCTTGCATAAGGATTGGGAACCACTGTTGTACATGCCAATTTTGTTGTTAATTTCCAAGTCAAGAAAGAGTCTTCACATCTCCTACAAGTGTTATTTTCCAATAGCTGTCCAACTGACCAAGGAAGATAGTGGTAAAATAATGATCGGGTCCAGAATGGCATCTTTCAAAATTTCTGCATTTTTTTAATATACAAAAGTGAAATAAAGCTGCAACAAAAAAATTGACAGCCATCTTCTTTTTATAGTGTAACACTCCACTATTTCAAAGACTGTCTGAGAACGGCCTTCCATTTGAAGACATCTTTTGTTTAAATGACAGCCCAGCCCACTGTGCTATAAAGATTACAAATCACAAAAACTTACAGCCAAGGTAAGTCTTGAATTTAACCATCAAGAACTAGACAACAGACTAAACAGGTGTATAGGCTCTATCTTCCCTACCATGAGTAGAAAATGGGTGGGTTTTTAAAAAAAAAATTAAGAGAATTATGTGAGAAGAAACAATGTCCACAAGAGAAATCATGCAAAAGATTTCCTCCTCTTGGGGGGGGCATCCTTCACATACCCAATTTTGCAAATAGCATGCGACTGGCCGAGCAAAGGAAAGCCTGATAGAAGAAGGAACTGCTTATGCAACTTCCATTTTCATTCCAAGATTCTCAATAAGATTCCAGCCTAAATTTCCATGCTTACATATTTGTTAGAATAATACAATTTCTTCCCAACAATGCTGCTGAACTAGCACTCTTAGGGCTTCATCATGTCTTAATCTGGTCTTGATTGGAACAACTGAGCATGGAATCTCATAGAGTGTTCAATACAGTCAGTTATATGAATCCAGTGAGACTGCTCTAAACATACATCACATGGCACAGAAATATATCCTTCGCCAGATGAGAAAGCATGTGCAGAAATTAACAGCATGCGCAATTAGAAGTAGATAAATCTGTCCATTTTTGTTGTTATTCAGTTAAAATACAGTTTTCCCTCTAAACTTAATGGAGAAATTGCTGCATTTTGAAAAGTTCTTATAGAAACAAATCAAACAACAATCTCACCCATCTTTACGTATATTTCCTGGTGGTCCTTTCCAATCCAGATGATGCAATTGAATGTGCGAAGTCCTTTTTCTCAAAGCAAAAATCCCACCAAATAGCTGTTTGGGATGGAGAGCTGAGGGAGGTTTGGATTAAGTTCCCCTTTTTCCCACTCAACAGCTGACCTAAAAAGGGATTAGACTGCAGCTCTGCCTCTGATTGCTTTTCATGTGTTCTGCTGGATTGAAGCCAGCATCTTAATGTGAGAAATGGTTTGCATTTAACAAAACATTGCAAACTGTGACACAGAGTAAGAGACAAAATATCACTATTCAAATCTGAATTAAACTGAAGTTAACACAGTAATTACTATACTTTATAACCTTAAAAAAGAGGTAGAATTATTACATTTTCATTTACCAGCACTGATACAATGATGTAACTGAACTAGAAATGTAGAAATGCATGCCAGAAGGGAAGGGGACCCTGCCAAACACTGACAACATAATTTCAATCCTACATTCATAATTTATGATGTCTCTTAGCAAACATTTGAAAAACATAAACTTAAGGAAGCAGGCTAACACAATTCTATTTCTATATTACTTTCATGTAGTGACAAAAATTATTTGAATACCCTTTCTTAAAATGTTTTCTCCTTACCTCTCTAAGATGTATATTTTCCTTCTCCTTCTGGTCTAAAATCACTTCTAAATGGTTAACCTGAGATTCAGCCTCAGCCATCCTTCGAGTTCGTTCGTTATCATCATCCATTCCTTTGGATGGCAACCCCTTGCTTTGCAACATTTCTAGAAGCTTTTTGATAGATTCATCTCTGGCATTTAGTGTCTGTTTCTGGGTTTCAATTCTCAGTTCCATTTCTTCCAAGGTTTTCCTCAAGAGAAACAGTTCTTTTGCCTGTCTGTCATGTTCAGCTTGAAGCCTTCGAAAATTCTCCTCTGTAAGCTCAATGGTAAAATGTTCAGCACCTCGGTTTCCACTTTCTTGCTGAAGTAAATGGTTGAGGTCTCTCTGAGTTCGAAGTTCATCTTGCAATGCCTGAATAGTTAGCTGAAGATGCTGCAATGTAAAAATAACATCTAAATGAATACTGATACAACCAGCCTATAAAATATTATGACACAATTATTAACAAAATTAGTAGTGAAAATCTAAATGAGCAAGTGATGTTATTTAGCTGCTGTTAGAAACCATGGAAGAAATGAATGTAAACACATATACACACAGTGCTTATTACAAGTACCAGTAACAGTGAACAACAAATCCTAAGACAAGAAAGTGAGAAGAACAGCATTTTCAAAATGTTAATGCCAGAGTGACACTTGCACAAGCAAACACTTTCTTAAAATATGTTCTCCTATAACAAGGCTGAATATTCTGGGTTTAGCTTTTTGCTTGGTAGGGGTGTTCTTAGACATAAGGTCAACATTTCCATACAATGTAACTGTGCAAGTTATTTGTGTTAATCACTATGTATGGACATAAAAGAATTAAGCTGTTATAATACTTCTGATGGAAACTATGAGCCAGTTTAATAAGAAGGACTGCTATTTCTATAAACAGGCATGTAAGATATCACACAATAAGCAATACTGCATTTTGCAAATAAATTGACTGCAAAGAGTAAACAAACCTTAGTTTTCCTGGCATCCAAAAACTGAACAGCATGGGAAATGAAAAAAAAATGAAGCAAAATCAACATAAAGTTTAGATGTAAGCAAACGAGATTCAACAGAAAAAAAAATTAACATAAAGTACTGTCAACAGAAAGTAAAGCATTGTTGCTTTAAACAATAAAGTCACAATTCTATAATAGTTTGCATACATATACATGCCCACACACTCAAGTAGTCAAAACTACACTCTTGCATATAGGGCAGAAAGAATCTGAATTGATCCAAGGAAATGTGACCAAACCATAAATAAGTTTAAGCATTGTTTTCTAAATGTTTGCACAGGTGCTACCAAAAAAAAAAATCATACGGTTGTGACAGTACTCATTTTTCACACAAGCAAATGTGTGAGTGAAAGAACAACACAAGCAAATGTGCAAGTGAAAAAAATCCTCTGAATTGAATTTTACTTTTATCATGCATCATTGAAGCACAAGGTGTAGAACAGCCCTTAAGGAACCAAAGGTAGCGTCTGCAACCAGAAATATACCTTTGGATCGAAACTATATTTTATAAATAATGTGCAACAACATGTTATATCCAGCTCTCCGAACAGATTAATAATGAGATTTAAAATGGTTCCCTCCTGCAAACTGTATAATCTCAAACTAAAGGTAAGGAATCACAGATTTGAATGCACCAGCAAACAACGTATTCGCTTCATATATAGAAACTGCAACTGTTATTGTCTAATGTTCTTTCTGTTGGTCACTCAATTTTTTTGGATTTGATCTGTTTTAAATTGTATTTTAAAGGAAGATTTAGTACTTGCCACTTCCATTGTAACGAAAGAGTGGGACTACTGTTCATTATTTCCAAGTATTTAACAATATTTATAAAGCATCCATTTCTTTCCCCCCGATAATTTCTAAAGGTAAGACAGCATGGGTTTCTTCCCTTTAACTATCATAAGACAAAGCATATATTTGCACATGTACTGAGAAGTAGCTCCACTGTATTCAGTGAGATTTACTAATCTGTGTTTAAGGGCTGCAATCTACACAATCTCCTTTTCATTAATAATCTCCCCATACTCTCCTAGTTTCAGTTGGGAGGCTTTGAATTTATTTATTTATAGGGTTTTCTGACCTTTTTTTCCTTCCATTTTTTGGGAGGAGGGAGGCTGTGAGTGTGCTTTTAATGTTGCTATTTTCCCCATATGAAGTGGGGTGTTTGATTTTTAAAAATATTATTTTGTTGATTTCCTGTGCATTGATTTTGTTAAAGGTTGTTTTTTGATGGGATTTTTCTTTCTTTTTTAATGTTTTGATTGTTCCAGAGAGAGGTGGGGACAGAATGTGGACTTTGTGAATGTGCCAGTCTGTCACTAAGCAATTGTTAGTTGGGCACTGCTCGGGGGATATCTCTCCTGTTAATTACTGTGTATTTTTTCTGTCAAAGGTGTGTAGTTTGGTGGGCTTTTAGGGATTGTTTTGTTTGCTTCTGGGGAATGTGTGATCCAAGGGAGTAGAAAACAGCTTAGTGGTTTGGTCATCTGGTTGTGAAGCCAGAAATTGGGAGTTCAATTCCCCACTGTGCCTCCTTGACAGAGGCTGGGCTTGATGGTTTATGGCAGTGGTGGCAAACCTTTTTGGGCTTGCATGCCGAAACTGGGGGGGGGGGACAGTGGGCTGTGTGCCGGCGCTGCAACAGCGGCGGTGGACCCAGAGGACCGAGAACCGGAAGTGTGGACCCGGACCTGGAAGTGGAGGCGGAAGGGGGAATCCCGGCACAGAAGTGCCTCAAGGCCCCTCCACTGCCAGCACCAGTTGCTCCAGATGTGTCTGCCGAAGCGCCAGCACCAGCTACAGCCGCCTCCTGAGGTTTGGCTGTGCAGGGGGGCGGGGGAAGTAGCAATCTGCTGACCTATGACTCACGTGCCAGCAGAGCTCCGCCATCGGTTCGCCATCGCTGGTCTATGGGGTCCCTTCCGACTCTGTAGTTCTAAGATTGCTATTTGTTATTTTGTGTCTCTGCCATTTGGCAGTGTGGATGCCTGCACAGATCTGATGGCAAAAATCATCTATAGATGAATGAGAACACCATAGGAATCCCCCACATGATTTAAGGGGGGAAATGCAATTTAAACTATGGCCAAATCAGAGAAATTAGGTGAAAATACAAGGCACTGTGTCTTTCAGAAATACAGATTAAATATTTTATTGTAGCTAGAAAATAACATACAGTAGCTTAATTTTCTTTGCTGTACAGTGGTGCCTCTCTTAACGATTGCCTCATTTAGCGATGAATTCGCATAATGATGTGTTTTTTTAGAAAATAATATGCACCTTATAACGATGTTTCCTATGGGCGATTTTCGCTTAGCGAAGTTTGGGACCATGCTTCGCATAACGAATGCGATTTTAGGTCCCTTGCTTCACTTAACGATGTTTTCTTTCAATTAAAAAAGTGTCTTAGAAGGGTCCAAAATGGTTCTAAATGCTTGGATTCGTTAGAGGACCCCCTAAGTCATGTGCAAACCTGATTTGGCTTTGATCTGACTTTTCGTTAATTTATGGTTAATTTTTTTTTCGGCCCATAGGAACCAATGGACCTGTCAAAATCTGACAGCTCCATGCTTTCCTATGGGGGAGAAAACAATTCGCCATAAATTAACGAAAGTTCAGATCAAAGCCAAATCAGGTTTGCACACGACTTAGGGGGTCCTCTAACGAATCCAAGCATTTAGAACAGTTGCTGAGTCTTCATTAATTTTTTGTGAATTTTTTCTTCCCCCATAGGAAATAATGGAGCTGTCAGATTTTGACAGCTGTCAAAAGTTGGGGGGAAAAATTCACCATTAATTAACGAGAAGTCAGATCAAAGCCAAATTAACTTTTGCATCCGTTTTAGAGGGTGCAGAAGCTAATCCAAGCATTTAAAACCATTTCTGACCCTTTTATGACACACTTAAATTTGCAAAAATTGACTTCACAAAGCCATTGAAATGTATTGAGTCAGCTTCAATACATTCCAATGGAGGAAACATTGTTTCGCTTAGCGATGTTTCCTATGGGATTTTTCGCTTAAGGACGGCAATCTTTGAACCAATTAAAATCGTTATGCGAGGCACCACTGTACTTGACTTTGCACAGATACTAAGTCTTCCATCAACACCTATGTAAAACAAAGTGCCAATTCAATGTAGCATCTTATTCCTAAACACCTAAGCCATCAGCTGCTGTTTTGTTTCTCTACTATGGACCATATTGTAGTAGTGAATGAGATTCATAGCAGAGCTTGAGAATCTATTTTTTAAGATGATGTCATA